CAGGCGGTCCACCATTTTATGACACAAGTGACCCGGGTGTCAAACCTCAAGGAGTTGAAGGTGTATTTCATGGACTACTATTCCTATTCATTTGTGGAGCCATTGACAGACATAGCCCTTAAATGCCAGCAAATAGAGTGCTTAAGATTAAGGCTATTTTCAAGGACTATTGACCACAACCTCCAGGTCTACGAGATAATCAAACTGTTCAGCAAACTTAAGACACTCGACTTATACCTATTCACAGGCTTCACGCCTGACCTCCCCGTCTACCTGTCCAGTCGGGAGCTGGCGATTCCCCAGTTAACTCGTTTAACCATAAAAGCCAATCAATACGTGATTAGCGACCAGTTCTTCGATGACATTCACATCCATTGCCCACAACTCCGGTACCTAAACGTGTGGAACGCCAACTGTACGGAAGGGGCGTTCACGTCGATCGCACAGTTACATGGTCTGAGGGAATTGTACCTGGCCACTTATATACCCAAACAGATTGTCGATGATTGCGTGTACGACCTGTTGGAGGGCTGTCCGCACCTGAAGGTTATAGAACTGGAGAACTTCGAGACACTGGACTACGAGGAGATTGAGGATGCGCTTCATAATCAATAGGAATGTTGTGCTGGCTTATTTTCATTTCAAATATTGTCAAATAGGGTTTAAATAAAATTTACTAAATAAATTTCTATTATTTTAAGTAATTAACTATGAGCATTTATCTTTTATTTAGTATATAAATAGTTTGTAGCGATTAAGATAGCCATTTTATTTAATTAGTTGTAATTGAACTTAATTTACTGAATACAAAAGTATAGTAAAATTATTAGTTATTGAAACATTCAACATTTTATTATACATTGAAATAAATATTAAAGCAAGATTATGTGCTAACTAAAATAAAATTATTAATTAATGGTAAATAAATAGTTTTTTAAGTGAATCACCTATCATTAGATGATTATGAATGTCATTTACCCGGTTCATTCACATTATGCATACCGGTATTACTCACGGATTCCTCATAACTGGGCGGTCGTTGTACTGGCTCAGCATAAAAAGTACCATGATAGAGCATAGGTTTCGAAAACTGATATGAATTAGTATGACATGTACCGATGGTATACATACTACCATTGGGTGTCATTCCCTGCACTGGTGGTTCATAGTTAGGCACGTGTCCAGGGGATGGCATTTGATCCCCATAATTGAGTTGATTCGGCAATGAATGGTTAGAAACAGTGTTATCTTGGTTACACCTCTTGACCTGTCGAATACCTTGGATATAATAATATCCCAAACATGCCGTCAATACGAATACGGCAATTGGGAAGTAGAGTAGACCCCCGGCGATCAATATAGTACCCAATCAACACAGACACGCAAACAGCCAGGACAATACGGTATATGTTATACACAGCAAATAGGCCTCCTTATAGGCGCCCAAAATTCCCATCAGTTCCAGTAATATAGATAACATACCGAAAAATATGGTTATACCTCTGGTAGTACTCTAGCATTGAATTTGAGTTTTAATGATACATATAATAATGAATATTGAAATTAATGTTAATTACTTACAACAGTGTGGTCTAGGTTATTGCTAATAATGTTGACTCCAATTATCATTAAGATCAATACAATAACATTGGTGAGTATGGCTATACTACAGCCCACATACATGGCCCGCCGTAAACTCCCGTATAGACTCTCCGATATGGTATAAGTCATAATAACAAGTGATTTGTTAAATTAAATTGTAATATGTTTTTGAATTATAAACAATTTTCTTAATCGTTGAAAACATATTTTGTATTTTTAGATAAAAGCTTTGAGGCGGTTATAAACAACAATATATTATTTGTCATTGTATACCTATTTCATAGTTTGCATTTCAATTCCATATAAAATTAGCTTTATTAATATTATATGTGTTTTTTATCAATGATATAAGTCGTATTAATGATAAAGTTATAAAGAAATGTGTGCAAAAAAGCATTATGCTAACAAGTAATATTATATTACATTATAAGTACTGTACAGTTAGGGAAACATTAATTCAGTTCATTTACAACAAGTATGTATATAAAAAACAATTAACTTTTAACAGTACTGTCTAAGATTAGCAAGTTTTAACAATACTTTTTATAATATAGCATTATAACGTTAT